TCTTCTCAATCAATATTACTAACAAAAGTGCTAATAATACTAACAAAATACCTTAACGGGCCATATAATACATGTCCGTAGGCCATCTCCGCCACGCGACAAGGCGCGGCATCACCACCTAGTAAAAGCATAACTAACATGCTGGGTTGCGTCTATCAGTTTCCAAGCTCAAAGTGTCAGAGTTTTGTTGCCAGTAAAGTGCGTGATGTTTTTTTATGAAATGATAACCCAACCGATTCATTAAAAAAAACATGTTGGGTGAATAATTTGGAAGCATACCTTGATTATGTAGGATTGTAATGATGATTTTTATTTTGACAAAAGATAATCATCTACATTGATTAGAGAAAGAGATCATTGCATCCTGAAATTTAACCAGATTAGAAAATCAAAGGGGTCGTTTGGAGGTTGTGATTTCAAGCGATGTATTTAGTCAATGCATGTAATGTCAAGATTAAGTCTTTTTTTGTTGTTATTAAATTTGTGACAAAATACATGTATTACCTTTTTCTGGGTCGACCTATAATCACTCAAATTGAGTGATTATCAATCTCTACCAAAAGGTGAGATTGACACCAATGGATTGTCTACCCTCTACTTTTTTACTTATAACAAAGCACAATGTAAACCTCCAAACAATGTATTTTTCAAATTCATACATTTCATCAATACATCAAATTACAATACACAAATTGATTAAATACTTCAATTTGAAGAATCTCAACCTCCAAACAACCCCAAAGAAGCGACATGTAGTCGGGTTCAAAGAGAGGGCTTTTCTAGCCATCAAATGGGCTGCCCTATTACTACTCTGTCCTACAAAACGCACATTAAGCCCATTGTGATTCACCAAATAGCGCAGGACCTCCTCCAGAATGGCTCATGTCCGATTATCACGGGTATCACCATGACTGAGTTTATCAATAGTCACTTTGGCGTCCCTTTCGAACCTTGTCTCAGTAAACCCATTCGCTAAACACCAGAGAATAGCCTTCCGGAGAGCTAATAGTTCAACAATCAAAGGATCATCAATATTCAGGAACTGCACTCCCTTAGCCAAGAGGACCTGGACCCTCCCGCCATGGCTTACGATAACCATTACCCCAGCCTAATGGGATCCGCGCATGGTTTCCCCATCCCACATACATACAACTGAATTTAGGGGACCCACACTCAGAGATTGCACACGTGGGCTGGCCAAGCACTTGTGAGTAACGTCAAGTTGCAAAGAGATCCACTCTTGGTACTGTTGGTGAAACTGATGCATTAACGTTGGGATCCCATATTGTTTGCCCTCATACACAACCCAATTAGGTGAGCGTCGGATCCTCCAAAGGATCACAACAACGGTGATAAAAAGTTGTGGTTGGTGTATCAACAACATCAACTTTTTAAGGAAGAGGGAAAAAGTGTGACAAGGCAAACCCTGACCAAGATACTCCAATCCTGAATGATTTCATAGAGCCCTTGCCACTGAACACTCTAGAAACAAATGCTCCAATGTTTCTGATTCTGCCTAACAGACCGAACACATAGGCAACACCTAGACCCTTTTCTCAATAAGGGCTTCCGTTGTAGGAAGGATCCGGTGAAAATTTTTCCACATAAACACTTTTAATTTTGGTGGAATATTCGATTCCCATAGGCAAATCCAACTAGACTTGTCCATTCAACAAGCCAAGGCTCAACACCGCCCCTCATGCTTATCCAATAAGACTGCCAGATGATAGGCGGACTTGACCATGAACACCCCATCACACGTGTCATGCCATATCATCCGATCCTCTACATCATGACGTAGAAGAGGAAAAGCTTTCACAACATGAACAATAATTAGGTCAAACCACTGGCAAGTTTAGTGTCACACCACTGACCCTCCCCTGGACAAATCACCCCTACCACCTTTGGGATACCACCCTCCGGCAACACTTGAGGATTGTAAATAGGGGCATGCGGGTGTAACTAAGGAATCCAACTGGATTGAAGTAGGGGAATTTTCCTTCCATTACCAACCTGCCAGGGAAAACCCTTGATAAATAACTGTCTACCAAACATGATACCTTTCCATCCCCATGAAGGTCTGGATCGAGCAGTAGCCTTAAGGAAGGTCCATGTAGGGAAATATTTTCCCTTGTAAACCTGGGCAAGGACCGATTGAGGTTCATTAAGGATCCACCAACCAATCTTGGCCAAGAGCGCCTGGTTAAAATGTTGAAACCGGCAAAATCTCATCCCCCTTCATGCTTACTCCGACACATATTCCTCCAAGACATCCACTGTAACCGAGAATGGCCTCCTTCAACACCCCACCAAAATTTGGCAATATGTCTGTCTAAGAGACGACACAAAGAGAGGGAGAGTTTGAAGCAAGACATAACATGTAATGGAAGAGCCAAAACGACTTATTTGATCAAGGTCTATTTTTTTCTTTTTCGTTAAATCAGTTTCCTTTACTATTATGTAAATTGAATTACAATTTGCAATTCGCAAAACCAATACAACGAAAGGGTTGCCATTGCGGCCTCCCTGCAAAGAGAACAGAAAAGAAAAGATGCAAATCAATCAACTCCCTCCCACATGTATAATCTGCAACTACAGAGAACTATAAAACATGCAACAAATGGAGATCCCTTCTCATTAAGTCCTGCAAAACTCCAACATCCCGCTCGGGTTCATGATGCATACGCCGACAACGCTCCTGCCAGATGTAAGTAATCAGCATGCTCCACTTTATGCCAAAGAAGTTCCCTTGGCCTCGCATTACAAACAGACAAGCAGAACTCAGTGATTCTGCCCAACTCGCCCTACAGACCAGGTCAACGCTGAGGAAGCCATTCACAACCTGCTTAACAAAGTCGCAAGAGAAGAATAGATGGTCTCTTGTTTCACTGGCACTATGACAAAGAACACAGCTGTCTTCATTTAGTTTCCCCCATCTCAGGAGCTTATTCTTTGTCACAATAGCATCCAAGATGACAATCCAGGCAATAAAACTGAACCGGGGCACACTGAATTGCCCCCATACCAACTTAAACCAGTCGACCTTGCAATGCCGGGGACGCAGGGAGTTCCAAACTAGCTTGACCGAGAATTTAGGCATTAATTGTCCATTCCACATAGCACAGTCTCCTTGTCTGGAAAGAAGAGGCTGCACCATGTATCTTTTCTTTAGGATTCGTCTCCAAACCCAAGCACTGTTGGCATTATCAAGGTCTATTTTGCTGCCTAAGAAAGAGTTCGTTGTTTCCACCCCTGAAGCCTATCCAATAGCTTGGCCTCCAAAAAACGGAATGTGGCCATCTTGGACTTGGCTACCAAAGTTGGCAGTCCAATGTATTTATCCTGGACCTCCACAGCCCCTACCTTCAGAATCTAAGCAAGGAATTCTTGACCCGACACAGAAATATTTTTGCTAAAGCGTACTGCCGATTTAGCCAAGTTAATCAATTCATTTAGCATTTTTGCGAACGACATCTCTGTAATGATTCATGGACTATAAAATCACACATTAACTCCTAATCCTACCATGAAATGACATAAGCAAATAGGTAGTTTATTGGCGGGCCTCGAATTTCTGGACACGTGTGTTGCCAAATTTTATCAATGTACAAACCACAACTAAACAATCATACATAAATTAGTCACTTAATCGAAAACAAAAATTCCTCTTGATTAACTTCATAGTTGAGAAAAGTCAGTTTGAAACTTGTTTAGTTGCAATTGCAACAAGTAAAGTCAATGCTCAACACTAAATTCATATGGGAAATCTCAAATGGGAAGATAGAAGGGTGGCGACAGAAGTCAGCGTGGAAGATTTAACGAGAATAGGGACGTCGCTAGCTAGATTGATAATCGGAGGGTAGAGTGGATGACATAAATATGTGAGGCATGTGTTGTAGATTTTTTTCCCTCTCGACACTCGGCAGACAGAAAAAGTGTAAGAAATGTGAATTTTAAAGGGTAAGGGAATGAGATTTTTTAGTGTTAGTGGAGATTGATTTTCATTTTTGTACAATAAAAAAGGAAAAAATGAAATTAGAAGAGGTAAGTTGAAAAATGTCTTAATTTGTTATAGTTAATTAAAATAAAAATTATATAGATTTATATATTTTAACAAATTTATTACAATTTTTTTTGTTTGTAGTGTAATGAAGTTGTGTCGGTTACAATTATCTGAGCACTGTCGGAGTTCCCAAATTAAAATTTTCGTATCGAAAAGGTTTGAGTTTCTCACAAAATTTTGAGTAACGTGTGTTGGCTAACACGACGCTCTAATAGGTGTACACAATGTTTTATGGTATCAATGCTTTGTTTTACAAAGAAACATTCATGGTACAAACAAAATTTGTATGATACAAATACAACTTGCAAAAGTTCCTTTAATTTATCGTACAGACTAAACTTGTATCTTTAACGTTATGATATAACTTAGTTTCTACATATAGTTTTTTAAAAATGATTTTATCACACAAAATGAACTTGTACTTTAAATTTATTATATATGTTCAATTTAGATCCGAATTATCAATATTTTACAACATAATAGAAGACCATTCTAACTAAGTTCTTCAAAATAGAACCTACCAGTCTACTCGAGAATCTGTGATTCAAAATGATGGGAACTAGTACTATAAAAGTTACAATGAAGTCTCACAATCCAAAAGATGCTGAAATGAGAGCTCCAGACAACTTAGCTAGGCGAGACACATGAACATGCGTTCAGAGAATTGTTGGTTGAGGGAAAGAAAAGATTAGATAGATCCCTCTATATCAGTCTCACTCACTCATCGGTGGGTCAATCCATTTACATTTCCAACGTAGCAACCAAGTTGTCCTTTTGCTAGGTTTTCTCCCTTTCGTCGATCACCCCACTCTCCATTCTCTATCCGGACTTTATGATTTTGACCCGATCGGCTAGCACCCCCCATTCATCACATGAGGACATGACCTTCCCTAATTCCTACGTAATACGTATATACTAGCTTCAAACATTTGTTTTACGCTAATATAGAATTTTTTTTTATACGGGTGATATATGTTTCATCTTTTATGATTAAAGTACTATTTAAGCGAGATATACACTATATGAAAATTGTAATAATAGTTTATTAACTAATGGTATTAAAATATGGATTGGAGTATTGTACTAGATCTAACGGTTGTAGTATTTGAATGTTTATAGCACGAGAAGAGCTCCGACTTTCTAGGGAGGGCGATTATCAGTGGATGCACTAGGGTTTCTCATTTTTCCATCGCCGTCATGGCGGCGGTGACAGAACCGCCGGCCAGAGGGGGGTTACCCCAGGATTTGCTATCGGGCCAACGACGCCCGCCCTTTGCTTCGTCGTCTCCCAACCCGAAAGGGGATAAGGAGGCACAACATGCTAAGAAAAAGGCGAAACCAACAACGACAATTCTCGCGACCGAGGCTTTTGCTGAAGATGTAACTATGGAAGCTGAAGCGGAACAGATGCGTACATCGCCAACCCATACCCTGCTAAGCTCTGCATGGACACACGGGATGAGAGCAGCGCGCCGTTTGTTCGGCGAGGACGCAAGAACTGAGGAATGGTACGTAGCAGATTCAGACTCAGAAGATGTAGCTGCGACAATGAGGGATGATGGGAAAGAAACCGGGAGTGACGATGAGGATGATCCACTTTTCTTGCCAATACCCTTCTCGGCGGCAGAGGAGCGACAGTACTGCCGTCAATGGAGGTCGACGTTGGTGGTCAAGGTTCTAGGGCGGTCAACCTCCTACACGGCGATTTCTCGGAGACTGAATGCTATCTGAGCTAAGGCTGGAGGAATTCAAGTCACATCGGCCAAGAATGGATACTATCTAGTGCGCTTTACGAGGGGAATTGACTACGAGCGAGCAATCACGGGCGGGCCATGGATGATGGGAGAAAATTATCTCACTGTTCACATGTGGGATAAGAATTTTGATCCCTACAATCATGCTATTTCGTCCACCCTGGTCTGGGCTCGACTACTTGAGATACCAATATAATATTTTCACCCTAATGCTGTTATGAAGATTGGTAGGCGCATTGAAAAACCGATCCGGGTTGATCAGGCCACCCGAATAGGGGCGCGGAGCGATTATGCTCGTGTTTGTGTTCAAGTAGATTTGACCAAGCCGCTTCTTTCTCAATTCCGAATCCATGGAAAGAAGTACTTTATCCAGTACGAGGGTTGGAAAAAACATGCTTGCAATGTGGGACATACAATGCATATAGTACCTGCAAGTGCTCCCAACCGACAGACCGTATGGAGTCGAACAATGTGGAGGTACCTAGTGAACCGGTAAAGGTTGTCCCAGACACGGTTTATCGCGAATGGATGATTGCTAAACGCAGGCCTCGGGGCCCACGCCGAGACCAACAAACGAGTCACCAGGGACAGTCGGGGGATGAGAAAGAAAAAGAGAAAGTAAATGTTGTATCAGGTTCCAGATTCCAAGTGCTACACGTGGAGGAAGACATAACGTGCATGGCGGACCATGCGAAGGGGACGTTGGGTGAACCCGAAATAGAGAAGGGGCCTATTTTCTTCCCGGGGGATAATTTACAAGCCAAAACGGGAAAAATGGACAAGAGGCCAAGTTTAAGCAAGCTGCGACAGTGAAGGGGACAGTTCCTACCCTGGACACGACCCCTACTCAAGGGGATAAGGGGCTGAAGTTGAACGCCCAGAAATCAAGAGCTGCTAAGGATAAGAGCTCTCTACAAGTTCCGAACGCGGATGATGATGGGGGAGTCTCCACGAACTTGGTGCCTTCCCCAACCAATCCAACTGCCTTGTGCAGTAACCCAGTGGACCGAACGAAAACAGGAGTTTCCACATCCAGGATCTCCGCTATGAACAGACCTCCTGACGACCATGGAGTGTCTATCACCTCACCGTGACCGAGTCTCTTGACGGAGGAAGTACCGAGACACATGGATGGGATCATCCCATCCGAGAATCAGTAACAGGGAGTTGGCTCTTTCCCCCCGCTAATCTTATGTTAGTTAAGATACTTTCTTGGAACTGTAGGGGTGCGGGCAGTCGTACGTTTCTTCGCGTATTTAAAGAATACCATAGAAAATACCGGCCGGATATAGTGATAATCGTGGAGCCTCGCATTAGTGGGGACCGAGTTAATGAAGTTGTTCGAGATATGGGTTTTGATAGTAAATTAGTGATTGACGCGGTGGGGTTCTCGGGAGGAATTTCATCAAATGACAATTAGTGCTTGGGCGAAAGGGGAAGGCTTCCGAGCATCGGCCGAAGCTTTTGCTAGGGACGTCACTCATTGGAATTGAACAGTCTTCGGGCACATTCAGAGGAGGAAAGATCAGCTGGTTTGACGACATGAGAGGCTAGAAAGCATGGGTAGAGGGCCAGTAGATAGGGATGAAGTCACCCGGGTGCGGGAGGAGCTTGAGTTAGTGTTGTTGCAGGAGGAAGTAACCTGGTGCCAAAAATCTTGCCTTGAATGGATCGCTTCGGGAGACCGGAACACAAAGTTTTTCCATTTGCGCACCCTTTGTCGCCGTAAAAGGAACATAATTCTTATGTTAAAGAATACGGCAAATGAATGGGTAGAAGACCAAGACGAGTTGAAAGCTATGGCGATGGGGGTTTTCCAGTTGCTGTACACGGATGAGGGTGGTGATTTGCAGTATCTCCCAGCTGATTTCCCACTCATAGAATCAAGCCTCTTGGAAGAGGTGGACAAGTCGTTGACAAGTGAAGAAATGGCGTAGGCAGTGCGCTCTATGGGGGCGCTGAAAGCACCAGGAAAGGATGGACTCAGCCCTTTTTTTTTCAAAAATGTTGGACCACCGTAGGAGAATCGCTGGGGAGGCTGGCAAAAGATTGTTGGGAAGACCCGGGCAGAATTAAGGAGATCAATGAGACGGTTTTGGTTCTTATCCCGAAGGTGCAACAACCTACTCCGATTGAGCAATTTCGTCCCATTAGTCTCTGCAACGTAGCGTATAAAGCTATTACCAAAGGCTTGGATGAGAGATTAAAATCCCTGATACCGACCCTGGTACGTGAGACTCAAACCAGCTTCGTTCCGGGACGTCATATTACTGACAATGTTTGCATTTTACAAGAGGTAGTTCACTCTATGCGCGCAAAGAAAGGTCAGAAAGGTTGGATGACACTAAAGATCGACTTGGCTAAAACATACGACTGCATCAGATGGGATTTCGTGCAAGACACACTGCAAGCGGTGGGGGCTCCTACGCTGTTACAATGACTTGTTACAATGGCTTGCATCACTTCGTCTACGATGCAAGTTCAATGGAATGGCGGACTCAGTGACTCCTTCTCCCCTACGAGAGGATTATGCCGGGGTTGCCCTCTATCTCCATATTTATTCACTCTATGTATGGAAAGGCTGAGCCATCTGAATGAAAACTCAGTTAGAACTGGAAGTTGGAAACCGGTGAAGCTTAGTGCGGGTGGACCAGCACTTTCTCACCTCTTCTTTGCAGACGATCTCATTTTGTTTGGGGAGGCGACTATTGACCAGGTACAGGCGATCCTGCACTGCTTTGAAAATTTTGGTGCGGCTTCTGGGTAGCAAGTAAGCAAGCCAAAATCCAGGGTGTCTTTTCGGCTAATGTCACTGCGCCTTCTCGACACAGCTTGACTGCAGCGCTTGGCATTCCCAAAACAGCCAACCTGGGGCACTATTTGGGAGTACCGGTGATCCATGACCAAGTTTACAAAGCTACATATACGGCTTTAATTGACAGGATTGATTCGAGACTCGCAGGCTGGAAAGCAGCAACTATGTCGCTAGCAGGACGCATCACCCTAGCGCAATCAGTCCTCTCCTCACTCCCAGTGTATACCATGCAGACTGCCTTCCTCCTTGCTAGTGTACGGGATTATATTTATCGGAAGATCCGAGCCTTTGTTGGGGAAGCACGGATCAAGGGAAGAAAATCCACTTAGTGGACTGGGAGACGATCTGTCGGCCTAAAGCGGAAGGTGGCCTGGGGCTTAGAGACTCAACTAGGACTAACGAAGCTTATATGCTAAAAATTGCTTGGCGTCTCATCACCAAGCCGGAGGAGATGTGGGCCAGAGTTGTTCGTGCCAAATACCTCCGCCAAACGACTGATGGCTGGGTTGCTAGATCATCGGGTTGCATCTCTAACCTATGGAGAGGAGTTCTTCGGGTTCTCCACCTGGTGGAGGGAGCTACAAGCTGGAACATTAGGAACGGGAAGTTGGTGAGGTTCTGGAGTGATAGGTGGCTGGCCAACGGAAGCATCCTCAAGGATTTAGCCCCAAATGTCCCGGAAGCGCTACTTCAAATGCCAGTCGTGGAGTTCGGGCTGAATGGTGAGTGGAATAAAGATTTCCTAAATGCTTACTTACCCCCGTCTACTGTTTTGCAGGTGTTGTTGCATCCTGTTCCCACCGAGGCTGAGGACGACGTGCGAGTCTGGCGGCTCACAGAAGATGGTGTATTCTCCTTACGCATAGCCTATGCGATCACCGACATGGGAGATGCACCAGCGATGGGCACCCGGTGTGGAGGGCCCTTTGGCGGACGACAACAATGCAGCGAGTGCGGAGCTTCCTTTGGCTGATGAACCATAGCCGACTGCTCACCAATGCAGAACGATATAGGAGACTACCTCACAAACAACGATGGATTCAAAATCTGCGGAGGAGAGAACGAGACGACGATGCACATCATGCGCGATTGTCCATTTTCCAGAACGACTTGGGCGAATCTACTAGAGGGAGAGCCAGACGCAAGTTTTTTTTAGCCAGACACCAATTGCTGGTCCCTGCATTACCTGTCTGGGCGCAACAATATTATCGATTCTGCTTTGTTTGCAGGTACGTGTTGGCTTCTGTGGAAAAATCGGAATAGCTTCTTATTTGAAGGAAAGATGAAAACCTATCCACAAATCCAGTTCGACACCAAGCAGCTCAGAAACCAGATTCAGTCTGCATTCGAGAAAGAAAGCCGTATTTTTGGAGATGGGGGACTCCACGAGCGGCAACTCATTTGCTGGAAGCAACCACAGGAAGGCTGTGTGTGTATCAATACCGATGGTTCAGTGGTACACTCTCAAGGAAGTACGACCTGTGGCTGCATCATGAGGGGAGACGATGGACGCTTTAGTAGAGCTTTCTCGGCGAACCTTGAAGGGGATTCAATCACGAGGGCAGAGCTGGCTGGAATTGTGCATGGGTTGAAGCTTTCCTGGGAAGAAGGGGCTAGGAAGGTTGTCCTACAGACAGGCTCGCTGGCCTTGATAGAGTCGGCCACTCCTACTCACCCACATTACAGGAGTGTCGCGGAAATAAGACACTAGATTAACAGGGACTGGCAAGACTCTATATTTCCACACCCAGGTGAGTTAAATGGTCTCACTCTTCATAAGCAGGACCCATAGCATTCTTGCAATACACGTTTGATTCCAGGTAGTCAATTCTTTAATACCCAGGCCCCCTTCCCTTCGAGAACGTGCCATCCTCTCCCAACCAATTTTTGATTACCTTCATCACCTCCATGCCTTAAGAATTGAGAGCAGAGAGTGTGAACCTTTTTAAGACTTTCTTGGGCAGTAAAAATACTTGCTTCCAAAAGACCAGAACTGCAACACCCCCATCCATACTGAAGTGATCAATTGAAGACGACTAGCATAACTCAGCCGTTTTACACGCCAATATTTTATCTTATGGGTGATTTTGGCCACCAGTTTCTCACAATCAATAGAGGATAATTTTTGTGAAATCAAGGGCAAGCCAAAGTACCTCACTAGCATAGTCCCTTTTTGAAATCCCGAAAAGAGAAAATTGCATTGCTCTTGTACAGAAATGAAGACCCACCAAAGTAAACCTCGCATTCTTCTGGGTTGCAATTGAGGCCAGATAGACTATGAAAATCAGACAAAACCTGTTGTACTTTAGTTATAGTGCTAGTCACCCATTAGTGAAAATCAGAAGGTCGTCGACAAAGCTTAAATGAGCCAGAGCTATGGAACGGTAACTCTCCAACAGCTTCAAATGCATTCAACAATAAAGACCTTTCATAGCTATCATGAAAAGGTAGGGTGACAAAGAATCACCCTGTCTTAACCCCTTCTCGAGAACCAAAACACTCACAAAGACTTCCATTCACACTAATGCTAACTTTTGTTGTTTTCACACAGATTTTGATCTAGTTCATATAGCACATAGGAAATTCAATTTCCTCCATCATCATAAAAAATAAGTTCCAATTAACAAAATCAAATGCCTTCATAAGATCAATCTTTATAGCACACCGAGAAGAAATGTTTATTCTATGACATCCACTTATTAGTTCTTGTGCCATGAGAATATTGTCTACTATCATTTTACCATCAATGAAAGCAGATTGATTCCCACTAATTAATTTATACAACAAATTTTTCTATCTATTGGACAATACTTTCGCAATGATTTTGTTTAGGATATTGATGCAGGATTTAGGGCCAAAGTCTTTCAATACGCATGCATAATGTGTTTAGCTAAAAGAGAGACATCAGTTGCATTTATGCTACCGGATAAGTGCCCTGATATGAAGAAATCAACGACCCCAACAATTATATCAGCTCTAATGACTGCCCATGCTTTCCTGATGAATGCAGCTGAAAACCCATCCAGGCCTGGAGCCTTGTGTGGGTTCATATAGAGGACAACGAACTGGATCTCCTTTGTTGTGACAGAGTTACTAAGAATTATCTGCTTAGTAGCCCTTAATTGTTGTTTTACAAAAGATTCAATCTATTGATGGTCTAGCTTAACCAATAGATCCTTTTTCCCAAACAAATCATTGTAGGAGGTAACCACTTCATCTGCAATTCTATCAATATTTGTTATTTCTTATCCATTTGTTGTGATTAACTTCGCGATTACATTTTTTGTAGTACGAATTTTCACAATTTGGTTGAAGTATGTTGTGCTCTTATCCCCCAACTCCAAACAAGTAACTCTTGACTTCTTTTTATATAGGCCCTCCTCAGCTTTCTAAAGCTCCTCCAGATGGTTTTTGAGCTCAGCGACCTCATCAAAACTCTCGACAGTGAATCAAAAGTCTATGCACTTGCAGACAAAAATAACAACTTAGCTTCATTCACAATTACTGATATTATCAAATCATTCAAATTCTTCATTATTTAACTTCTTTAAAGCCTTCTTTGCTTCATTCGCTTTTGTTTTCACCATGTTCATAGGGTGACCATGAACTTGTATTCCCCAAGCTACTTGTATCAAAGGCATAAAACTTGGATGATCTCAACAGAAATCAAAATATTTAAATGGCTTAGAAAATGTCTTTTGCGCTAGTTTTGTGGCGACAAAGATCCCACAATGACCAGAGAAACTTACCGACTGAACTTCAATCAAACACTCAGGGAAGGTGTCAAACCATTATTCATTCACAATAGCTCTATCCAATTTCTTCCCAATAAGATTCTTACTTTATTAGAGAGATTTTATATCTTAATTTGTGAGATTTTTTTTTCTTACTTTATCTTTTTATTATTATTTATCGTACCAAATACGCTTATCTATAACTTCTCAATATATCCTAGTCACTATAGGTCTTTTAGATAAGGGCATACATATCATTTGATAGAAAAGTAAAATTTTATTTTAATATTGAATATTAAAATCGTAATTACCAACAAATGAACATTTTTTAATCCTTTAACAGTCCAAACAATTAAAGTATTTGAATTGTTCAGAATATAAAAATTTATATTATAATTCTCCAAGCAACCATAAAATTTTCTCTACCAAATATTAATGGGTTGCCAACCCTAGGTTGCTTCTCATTTTCTCCTTGATAACCATTTACCAAACAAATTACAACACATCAATAGAAAAGAAGCTCAATCCTCTCTATCCCCTCTCTCTGTCCCCCTAATTGCGGCATAATGCATGTTAGTATTATTAATTTGTATTAATTTGTAGCAGCATCAAATGACTTAATTGCCTCCTGATGTTGATCACTTGACAATCACCTAAAAATAATCTATAATTGATGCTGTTACAAAATAATAACTAATCGATTCATCTATTCCGTTCATAGAATTTTGTAGTCCTAATACGGAATACCAATAACCCCATCATGGATTAGGGGTAAATACTAAATACGAGGGTTAAAGAAGGCACTAGGTGTAAGGCGGGCGTGGAGGCTTTGCCTAGCGCCTAGCTCGCCTAGGCGTAGACTAAGCGTGCTTAAACGTTGGAAGAAAAGTAGCTATTCGCACTGCATGATGAATGAAATAATAATCTACAACACTTCCTCACTTTAGTTAGATTGATTAATAACTTACTTAACACTTAATGACAAGAACAAGCTCACGAATTCATAAAATCATAGCTCAATAGCTCACAAAGTTCTTGAGCTATTGAAAATTGATTTCGTAGTTGACGTTAATTTCCTCCTCTAATAATGACTTCCCATCGTCATCTAGTTATGTTTAGGAGAGATTTAGATGTCGCCTTACTCCACTGACCTGTGCCGGTATCTAACTAGGCACGAAACCCCTTGGCGAGGCGTTTTGTCATTGCCTTGCGCCTAGACGTGCCTAAGTGTAAGGTTAAGTGTGCCTTTTTGAACCATACTAAATACCAAGCCCTGATACTCAGGCCAGAAGTCCAAGCCCTCCCGTATATAAAAATTTCTTGCTCCTATAATCTAACCCTCTGCTCATGAAGGAGGGAAACAAAGAGTGAGAGAAAATTATGGAAAATTTGAGGAATGAAATCGTTCATAAGCTTTGTAACAATTACCCTAATTTTGGCTGGTACGGTCGCCTCTCCAGCAGGCTGGTTTAAGTTAAAAGGAGCGGCACATGTACATGACGGAGACATTGCAGCAGGGGGAGTTATTCGCAGCAATGAAGGTGGCTGGATAAGCGGCTTCTGCTGCAGGATTGGAGCATGCTCGGTTATCATGGCGGAGCTCTGAGCTATTCTTATGGGTATTAAGCTTGCTTGGAAGCAGGGGATTCAATTTCATATTATTGAATCCGATTCTCGCTTGGCCGTCGATCCGATTCAGCAACCTCATGATCCGACTCACCTTCATGCGAGCATTCTGAGAGATATTCGGAGGATTGTTACACAAATTTGGGTGGTTCAACTTAGGGGTGGAAGTTTGGTTTGCGGGTTGCGGGTAGCCCGCAAACCGCACACTTTGTGGATACCCATACCAACAATTTGTGGATAGTGGGTTGGGTGTGGGTAGTAAAATATTGATTTTTGTGATTAGTGGTTAATAGGGATGGCAACCAAACCCGAACCCACGGGTACCCACCCGACCCAACCCGGTCAACGCGAGTAAAATCCGTGTTGACGGGTTTGGGTCGGGTTTGGGTTTAAACCCGTTCACTATTCACCGGGTTGGGTTTAGGTTTAGGTAAACCCGACCCGTGGGTACCCGCCCACACATATAATTAATTTTCTCGGTATATTTAATATTTTAAACAACTAATCTTATTTATGTTTGTGGAGACATGTCTAATCTTATTTAAACAACTAATCTTATTGGGAGGAAACAATGTACCTAATAAAATAACCTTATATAATTGAAGGAATTAACGGATTATGAAATCAGTTTAAATGTAAAGTTAGTAATTAATAATTAATTACATATTTTAATAGTAGTAGTTGAGTGTAATTTAATCACTTAAAGTATTTCTTTTTTTATTTTCTTACGTAAAAATAGTTGAGTGAATAAATCGGGTGAGACTGGATTTTAAACATGGAATTAGCTAGATTAAATAATAACGAGGACGGTAACAAAAGATGAAAACACATCTTCTCCGTCTACACATTCTACCTCTCCCTAACCCTAAACCCTAAATCCCACCAAATAGCTAACTTCAACTTCAATCCATCCAATCCTACTACGACATTGTCTTAGAGGTAAAATCATTTCTACTTCCACTAACAACATTTGTTTGCATCATTGAAATACGCATGATGGGCTCAAGAAATACTATTTTATGATTCACAGAGCCCCCAAAAATCTCGATGGAAATTTTGGCACTATTCATCTTTTTTTGTTTGGGACGTCCAATTAAGAAATTGTCAGTTCCACCATGTTCGTATCCACACTTTAGAGGAACAACGAGGTTTTCAACAATTTTTAAGTCGATGACTCTAATAAATGCGAAAATTGACAAATGCAAAACGCGCCATTTTAGTTTGATTACCTAACATATCCACACTTGTAGGTAAATTATCAATATGATTACATGGCCATTTTAATATGTAATTCCTATTAATTTTAAAATACTATAATTAGGATTTAAAATTTTGAATTATTAATTTCATTCCTATTAATTTCACCTATTAATTTCATTCCTTATTTCACGTCTTCTACACATTTCACCTATTAATTTCATTCCTATAATATTAATATAATAATGTCAATAACCCCCCTAATCCATCTCACTCACGGGAGAATATTTGGAGTTTAGTGCTAATTAGTTTTTAGTGCTAATTAAGCGGGGCATGTTGCGCTCTGTACATGGATTCCATAACCCAAGTTTAATTTCATTCAATTAATTACGGCAGAATACTTTCCCTCTATCATTTAATATAATAATAATTACAATATTAATCACTTTTCTCTCCCATTAACATTCCTAAAACGGTTAAACTTCTCTTCCACTCCCAAAAATTATCGTCGAATACCCTCTCTCCCTGCTCTCCTTCTCTCTCTTCGTTCATTCTACCGCCGTCGTCGGGAAATCAGATCGCGCCGAGCCGTCCGCTCGCCGGCGTCGGACCCCGTCCGCTCGCCGGTGGCGGACCTTTCAGTGCAGTCGACGCCGGAGAGTGGTTTGTTGCGTTGATGACGGTGGCGGTCAGTCGGCGGTTGACTCCGGCGATGGTGATTTTGCGCCGACAGTGGGGGTATTAGTGTGAAAGAATCCTCCGTTGTAATAGAAGTTAAACAAATAACTGGGGCAGAAATGTCATTTTAACTTAAAATACGGGCGGCAAATAACAACCCTAAAAAAAACCCTTCACTTTACCCAACGTTATATTGATTAAATAATCCCTTCTACCTCTCAGATTCTATCCGCACCAAAATCTTCCATTTTTTTATTTTTATTTTTTATCAAGACCCGAACCATTTTGCTGTCCAAATCAAATTGAGTTACCGCCGCAAACAATAATACGAGCATTTCTACTATGATATATAGTATTGGTGTTTTAGGGGTCGTTTGGAAGTTGCGAATGTTAAATCGTTGCATTGTAATGAATCACCATGATATAAATGTATGTATTGATACAATGGATGCATTTTAACAATACATTGTTTGGTTGTTGAGATTCTATTTTATGCATTGATTTACATAAAATTACTTTTATGGGGAAATGTCACATTTACCCTCAACTTTTAGAATAAGACAAAAACTATTGGGGATATAAATGGAAAGAAAAGGTTGACACAAATCTAAAACCAACAATCACAACAATCTCAACTTTTAGTTGAGATTGTATAATGCATCATTTTTTGTGATTGTTGGTGGGACCTACCTAAAACAATGCATGCATTGTTTAACACTTTGGCACTTCCAAACATTGTATTGTGCATAATACATGTATTCAACAAACACAACTATAACAATCACAACTTCCAAACGACCCTTAATGTATAACTTAAAGTTGTACCATAACATGAAATGTATAAGTTTAGATTGTACCATTAAAGAATTTGTATCATTATGTTATGGTACAACTTTACAACTTGAAGTTGTACCATCACATAAAGGTACAAGTTCAAGTTGTACCATAAAGAGTTTGTACAAACAGTATAGGTATAATCTAAAGTTGTACCATAACGTTAAATGTACAATTTCAAATTGTACCATAAAGGCAAAAACCTATAGCACCGATACTATATAGCATTGTAAAATTCCTCCAATAATACACCACAATAGCAATAAAGTTGGTTATTGTAATATACTAGTCATTACCCCTAAATTATTATTATCGCATATAAAGTATTACTAGGAGGTGAAGGTAAGTCTAATTCAAAAAGTTTTATTACTTCCTATACACATTGAAGGAATTACATAATTTTTTATGCTAAACTCTTTCAACGATTTAAACGATTGAGAGTATATGATCATTCACATTATATGAATGGAAGTTGTATGACAATTTTTTTTTCTCGTGTATGTTTGCTCTAAATATTCAATCATGAACGCGGAAACTGGACAAGAAAATCGCCCTCCCTGAAGAAAAGGGAAGCATAGAAAGGGGTCTACTAGGCCACAAAACAAAAGAACCTCAAGAGATGGGATGGTGAGCCAATGCGGCGGTCCCATGATTGGAAGAATGAGGTGAATCTACCCATCGAATTGGTCTGTTTAAAGTTCAGACGTTGCATGATGAGTTCATGCAAAATTAAATTAATTTTCTTTTTGATGTGCATAATAGTTGAGATTTCGATTTGATTTCTCAAATTTTATGATTTTTTCAATTTTGTTCTAATTTTAATTCTAAATTTTTGGACCTTAAAATCTTATAGTATTCACGATTATAAGCAATTTTAAAGTCTGGGGTGAATCAAATGAATTTTGTCCATATGAAATCGAGCTAACAAGATAATAACATATCACGAGGTCAACTTTCCTGAATGCACCCAATCTGCCAAGCCACTTGAAGCCGCCAACCAAAGATAAGAGACCCTAAATGCACAGATGAAGCAACGAGACATGAAAGAAACCGAAACATACCCTCATCGAGAAGACGGCCACCAACTACTTGGAGGACCCAGAGGAAAGCATGCACCGATCTCTAAGTGAGGCGTCTCCATCTTCAAAAACTAGAATCGCATCCGAGTCGATTCACAAAGAAATACTACTGCTATCTCCGGATCATCGCGCGATCTGTTGGATGAAACAAGGAGCTAGATGGAAGATTCAAGGAAAAGAAGATGAGTTGAAGAAAATTCAACAATCCCCTTTGTAATTGGACAAAAGAGCTCCGACACCTCTAGATATGAAAAATCAGACCAGAAACTGGAGAAGGAAAGGACTCATCTCCATAAGAGAGAATCTGGAAGAAAAAAAAAAACTCAACAGGGGGCTAAAAAGGACCCAAACAAGGGTACATGGAAAGGAAAGGAGATACAAAACCAAAACAACAAGCCATGAAAAATAACTATAAACGCAGACAAAGGACGGGTTGCCACTGATCGCTGGCAGCAACCCTCTAGGAGGAGCCCAAAACCGAAACTCTAGTCTAGAGAGAAGCGAGAGCCTTTGAACTTTGATTAATTATCTTGCCTATCAGAGTGCTAGTGGTTCTATATCCAATGCAAAATTATCCAAAAGGAAACTAATGTTCACGGGAGTAAAAAAAATCTTAGTTTGGGGATATGGATTGCATTTTTGTTGATTTGTTGAAATTTGCATTACAGTTGCTGCGCTGACTTGATACAATGTAGTTGAGAATTAGTGATGGTGGGTACCTCAATTCCCATGTCCCGCCCCATGCTACTATGGGTCGGGGTGGGTAAAACCCGCGCGGGTACGGGGCGGGGCGGTTCAATCCATTCTTACGTGTTGTTAAAAAAAATACAAGTAAATTTTACTTTTTACAATAAAACGTAGGGAAAAACACTTTAAGAATGAAAAATATTGATAATAGAATGGATAATTGAGCCTAACAAGTTGAAAGATCGACTCTAACTAGTTGAAGAAAAGTCAAAATAGGATAACTATGTATAGATATTGCAAAAAGTTGAGATAAAATGAGTCTAAAACGGGGCGGGGCGGGCAGGGCGGGTCGGAAGTAGATACCCATGTCCCGTCCCACGCTACTGCGGGTCGGGTAATACCCGCGGGAGGGTTGAAATTGCCATCACTATTCATCATTTTAAAGTGTCACATATTTGAGTGGTATTCTGATTTTTCTTATTAATATTATTGTTTTAATTCTTAAGTTTACGGGGTCCTTAAAAGCGTTCTATTTTACAATCTCAATGTTACCAATTTTTTTGATTTTATGTAAAATTCAGATTTTAACCGCATGGTTCTTATTAAACCTCTCCAAAAAAACTCAATAATTGAATAGATACTTGAAAATTTTCATAAAAATATATTGAAATATTGAAAAATGATGATGATGATGATACCATTTCAGTTTCTTTTTCTTCTGGTGTTGGGCCAGCTCTTCCACGATCCACGCCAAGTAGTAGGCCGAAAGAACGGCCTGGTGGCAAATGCCAGTTTAAACCAGGGTTCATTAAACCGTACCGTACCGACGGTTCAACCACAAAATACCAGTATTGGAGGCTAAACCGATAGGCGACATTTAATGGTACTAACGGCTGAACTACGGTTAAACCACGGTTTTGTCATAAAATACCTTATCGCTGACTTTTCCGGTACGGTCTCCGGTACGGTTTCATGGACCATGGTTTAAACAAAACACGAGAAATCTGAAAACACACCCAAAAGACATTTCCCCAATTTTCCCTCCAACCGATTATGACGCCGGAGAACCTTCTCCGCCGCCCGCAGCCGGTAGAGAAGCTGACTCTGGGATGCCCGGTGATGGACCGCTGCCTAGCCGGTGGAATCCCCTGCGAATCGATCACCGAAATTGTCGCCGAAAGTGGCTCCGGCAAGACCCAACTCTGCCTACAGCTCGCCCTTCTCGCCCAGCTCCCACCCTCACTCGGCGGCCTCTCCGCCTCCTCCATCTACCTCCACTCCGAGTTCCCTTTCCCCACTCGCCGGCTCCACCAGCTCGCCGCTCAGTTCCACGCCCACCATCTTCAAGACCTCATCGCCACCGGCCGCGACCAACGTTACGATCCGATGGATGGCATACTCGTGCAGAGTGTCCACACTGCCGACCAACTGCTCGACATAATGACCCAGACGGAATCTTTTCTCCAAAATTCACAAACCCAGTTCCCCGTCAGGCTGATCGTGATCGACTCCATCGCGGCATTGTTCCGGTCTGAGTTCGATAACACCTCGATCGACTTGATGAAGAGATCTTCACTGTTTTTCAAGATATCCGGGAAGCTGAAGAGCTTGGCCTCGAGGTTTAGATTAGCGGTGGTGGTGACTAATCAGGTGGTGGATTACGTTGGGGATGGGATGAACGGGTTAAAGATTGGGAATTTGGAGGAATTGTATTCTTCTGGGAGGAGGGTTTGTCCCGCTTTAGGGTTGGCTTGGTCGAATTGTGTGAACTCAAGGCTTTTCCTTTCCAGGGAAGAAGATGAGAAGGCGAATAATTGCTCGGTGGAACGAAGTGAAGAAGATGGAGGTTTTGGTTCTCGGACCACAAGAAGATGGCTTCATCTTGTTTTTGCTCCACATTTGGCTCCTTCATCGTGCGAGTTTGTGATCAGAAGAGAAGGCATTTCTGGAGTTGACAGATAAGTGAAGACTCGGGAGTTCTTCATTTACAGAGCGTTTCTGGCATGAATCTCCACCATGTGATTGCTAAGTTTGTTTAGCATTCTAACATGCGGAAGTTAGTATGATCTTGACCTTCAACAGTTCAACTTTCAAGTTAGCTCCAGAGTCCATAGGCGGTAGTGTCTTGTTACTTGTCAAGCTTATTTACAGCTATAACATACATAGTAGCTTTCACTTTCTATAACCATAAAGCCCAAAGAATCAGATCGTTAACTTTCAATGTTAAGCAGCCTGAGTGAACATGGCCATTTCTCTTGCTTTTCAAACCAGTTTACTGTTGTAAGATGTCTGGAGAAAGATTGCCCAGCTTGGGATCAATACTGTTGTTTGTAACGTTCAGAAACTAAACTGGCCATTAAAACATCAAAGTGTTGGACCAGCCTACAATGAGTATCAACTTTCAGTTCGCTAAAGCTAGGGGGAAGTTCTATCTGTATTCTTCTGGGAGGCGGTATCCCGGAATGACTAGTTTGTTGGCAAACATCTTGCCAGTCTTGGGCATGACATGCCAGTGCAATGTCAGGTTGAAATGCTTACCCCGGAGATTGTTTCCCTGCACGAAGTAGATGGTTTCAGCAACAAGAATTCCACAAGACATCAACAGCGGAAAAGGGAATAAAAACAAATAACTCAGCGTTTCTTACCTGATCAACGAAGCGATACTTGTTCGCTGTCTGAACCCAGAACTTGGCGTGCTCTTTGGCTGGGATTATAGCATCCCAAAGTGAAACCTAGTGCATTAACATCAAATGGCAAATGAGTGCAACATTTTGTTACATTGTGAAGAGAATAAACCACCATTTGTTCTAAAGAATGGGAGGCTCATTCTTGTTCCATGACGAGGATGGTGCTCAACTCAAGTTGAATGTATAAACTGAATTCAAACGTGAGCTATTGCACATTCTTTAACCAAAAGTACCTGGTTCAGAGCGTTCTTTGGGGTTTCATATTCTGCAGCTATAAATACGAAAACCTGATATGAAAATGGAACAAAATACTCAATAATAATGACTTAATGTCTACGCACAAAACTAACATCTGCTGATTATCTATATTTTTTATCAAAATCAGCAGCCAAAGAGTTCAGCAGAATATATATATGCCTGCTTTCAACTTCTGAAGCAAAAAGAAAACAACTTAGTGACTAGAATCTATATGGGAATCCAATCATCTGCTGATATGGTCAATGTTATATTGAATTTAGAATGCCTTCTCTATGCAAACGTGTTCAGTATACAATTGAAATGCCAATTTAAAGATGTGGCTAGGAAAATAGACAAGCTGTATGCGATCGGAACACACACCTGCTTCGTATTCCATGTAAAGAGTGACTGCAGATCGGCTGTTATATTCATCGTAAGACTGGCCTGCATTACGAAACAAAAACGTATCTCATCATAATCAACTGGAGATTTTCTGTGAAAGAGGAAACATTGGGGAACATGTGAAATGCAGTGGAAAGTATCTGAATGAGAACGAAGTCCCCCAAGTTATGCCGAACCAATTTCATTAAGAGTAGATCTACTAGATTAAGTATTTTACTACTCACTTCATAATCCAACACCAGCCATAAAATTCACTGAGGAGAACACTCTCCAAAGTCGGCATAAATATCAATGACAAGCGAATCAACCATCACTCTTATGTTATCATTCGATATACCATAACAGCAGTTACATCAATTGGACCGAACAGGCAGATTGGAGCTACATCCCAAACCTTGCGTAACCTTCTATCTAAACCAGCAATGAGTATACAAACAATCAAGTCGATGGAAAGCGAAGTCTCAGTTACTAAACCCTCTTGAGAGTACACCACAACACAAGATTTTGAGCACTTGGCATGTTCACTTCGCGTCATCCGCCTACATCGGCATTACCAAACCCTCTTGAGAATACCACAACACAAGAATATAAGCACCTGGCATGTTCACTTCATGCCATCCGCCTACATCAACATTTAGATCCAACGATACAGCTAACTTGAGGGACAAGAGGTCCTAACCCTTCAAGACTAACATATAAACAGCTAACCACAGAGCCTAAGCCCAAATCAAACTTCACTAAGAATTAGCCAGTAGAAGCCATTGATCATCTTAGAATAAGCAAGCTGAGCCTGAGAGCATACTACAATGACATGAAGAGCAAGGCAGAAACCCCAGCAGCATACAGAAGCAAGCACAAAGGTAGCTGTTGAAATCCTTACCTCATCGTTTCCATGCTGTTTCTGAAACCAATTGATGTTCAATATCTACAAATCAAAACCAAATCCCAGAATTTAGAAACCCAAAAAGTGCCCAAATCCAGAGTCAAGGGCAGCAGCAAGATGGGGAGCGAAACGCAAAAGGGAGACACTGCCCGACCTGGATTTCGGCAGACGGGCGGGGAGAATTGAAGTTATCAGAGACCGACGCCATCGCGCAGATGAACGCGAGGATGGTGATCCCAAACGTCAGCACAGCATTGGCACGGAATCCAAAGGAATGCATCTCCGAATTTTGTTGAAGTCTTCTAGCGGGGGGATCAGGAGGAGGTGGATTCCACCGTTGCGCTGCCGAATAGTTGGGCAGCTGCCGGCGGCGCTGGAGCGTGATTTATGGAGAGGTTTTGCCCAGTCGAGGGAGCGGTAGGAGAAAATTAGGCGTTTTTTTCAGTGGGCTGAGGAGCCGGAAAAAAGGATGAAGCGTTTCCAGAGGGAGATTTCTTTTCGGAGCCGGCTTTTGCTGACATGGCACTTTTTCATTGGTTTGCACACGTCCAAGTCGTACCCCGCCTGCCGACGTGGCCCTTCCTCTAGTAACTCTTTAGTTTTTACCTTTGTTTTAAGGTAATGGTAAATTGCAAGTTTGGTTATTAGAATTACTTAAAAAATTCAGGTTTGCAATTAAAATTAATTTATTTTATAGGTTATAGTTATGGATGTAAGTACTATAAGAGTCGCATTTAACTCTTCTCATTAAGGCCTTTAGTCATTGAATAGATGAATTAATTTGTTGTCACTGTTATTCTATAGCCGGGCTTGAGAAGCAGAAGGGTGATTGAAGTCCCTCGACCACAAACAACCATACAAGGTGGAGTTGCTGCAAGGCCAAATAGAAATGGAGGTTGTGGACATGGTGGTACCCAAGAGAGCACAACTACCTCTTAATAGTTTAGTATTGAATGCAATAGTCGATAGTAGTAAGTAACTATGAAACTACAAGTAGCCTACAGGAGAGGAAACTACCTTTTCTAGCTTATTTTGGAATTATGAAACAACATTTTGTATACTGCAGCAGGTTACTGCAGTAGGAATATCCAATTGAACAACTGCAAAAGGCTGGTTTGATCTATGAAACTGCAAGCAGCCTGGTTTTTTACTAGCTTCACAATATGTTTTAGGAGCCATGAAACAAACACTTCTCTTCGTTTGAGCCATGAAACATTGCTTTCTGCATTAATGTGTTCCACACTTATATCATACACATTTTGTTTCAAACGTATGAATGCCACTACATATGACCACAACAACTACAACCAAGCAACTACTACCAAACATCTCAAAGTTGCAGTTGAATCAAACGTTCATTCCATCCACTTCAAATACTAGCTATTATCACAATGGAATACACGGAAATTACAACCAACGGAGCAACTTCTTTCACTTGTCCACGAAGATATATAGATGCTGCAACTTCTGGAGCTTGATGGCTACAGTGGACAAGCATGTTGTTGCAACTTCTAAATTCCCCAAATGAACACAACAGTCAGCTAAATATCCAGCTCGCCTTCTCTCTTAGCCGCATCGTTCTCACACCACACCAACAGCCTGCAAAGTGGGGTTTCCATCTTCATTAATGGATGATTCCTGAGAAGAGGAAACCATCACATACAAACACAAATCATTCCTATACCTATAAACACCTACAATTAGGAGGTCATACTTCAATTTTGGGTTCACATCATTTGTGCATCATAATTGTGTGATATTTGCAGGTTGTTAAGAGGCTAACCAGTGGGTTGGGGTAAGTGGAGTTCCTGATGTGGGTGAAGCAGAAGAGGCACAGACGGAGGCTCCCCACCCGCGGCTCAACATACTGGTTTCCAAGAGGGACATCGCTAGAGCAGAAGAGGCACAGACGGAGGACGCTAATTCGAGCGTGGTTTGTGTATCTTCGTGCGGGGAAGATACTAATTCGCCCCGTTGGAGCTAGAGTTGGCGGACGACAACGATGGCCGGAGTTGGCGGATGGCCGGATTTGACGGGCGGCGTCGATTGCCGGCGTTGATGGCCTGCTTTCTTTGTACAGGGGAGTAGAGGGCAAGATCTGAAGAAGGAAGGTGATGTCGGGAGAGCTAGGATCAGGTGACTAAGAGGGTGGGCCTTAGTCACAACTCATATGACTAAGTCAATCTCAGTCCTTCCACCTCATTAAAATCCAATGGAACGATCGGGTATTTGACGCCGGAGTTGAGAGAGAGAGAAGAGAGAGAGAGAGAGAGAGAGAGAGAGAGATTTCCGATGACCGGAGAAAATTTCCCGGCGACAGTGTTGGATTTGTGATGTTTGCTGACCTATTTTGTAATGTTTGTATAGATTCGATTTGTATTTTAGTGACATTTTGTACGGTTAGTATGCTTTGTACTGTTTGTAGGTTTATTTTGTAATGTTTGTACGCTTTCTTATTTTGTAATGTTTGTCGGTTTTTTTTTTGTAATGTTTGTAAACTTTGTTATTTTTGTGCACCATGTTTATCATTTTTGTCAACCATGTTTGTAATGTTTTTTATGTCTAAAAAACAACCTGGTTGACTTTTGGATGGAACTCCTCTATATAGGGATGGAGCCTCCAAAGTAAACCCGGGTGTTCTTTCCAGTTCGTATGGATTGTCGGTCTAGTTTGTCATTTTTGTCACCCATGTTCGTAATGTTTGTATGTCTAAAAAACAACCGGGTTGACTTTGAGACAGAGCCCTCTATATAGAGATGAAGCCTCCAAAGTCAACCCGGGTGTTTTCCTAGTTTGTATGAACTTTTGGCCTAGTTTGTCATTTTTGTCCACCATGTTTGTATGTCTAAAAAACACCCGGGTTGACTTTGGGAAGGAGCCCCTCTATATAGGGATGGAGCCTCCAAAGTCAACTTGGTTGTTTTTTCTTTTTGTATGGTTTGTATTGTTTGTCAGTCTAATTTGTATTTTTTGTACAGTTCATATGTTTGTAATGTTTGTATGTTTTGTCGCTCTAGTTTGTATTGTTCGTATGTTTGTATGGTTTGTACTGATTGTAAGTCCGGTTTGTATACTTCGTAATTTTCCATAATATCCAAACTACCCCTGTCATTAATTAAATAGTCATTCCCACTTTTTAACCATTGGATTGAAGTGTCCAGATCTAAGGGCTGGGGGGTGCTTAGTCAAGTGACTAAGCCCCCCCCCCCCTAGTCACAGGATCCGCACTCATGTGGGGATAGAAGGTTTGGCAGCGTCGAGTGCTTTTTAAATTTTTGGCACATAAATTAATTTTTTTTAGTGAACGGACATAAAATATTCTGAATGGCTAAACGTCGCCCTTGTTTTACTTTCGCCCTAACTTAAATGACGAAACTACTAAATTATCCTTCCTAATAAAATAAAAAAATATTAAAACCTTCAAAATACCTTATCCTCGACACCGCCAACCTCCACCTCCTCTCCATATACCTTCCGCCTCTTCTCCCCTGACATCCTCTACGCCTTTCTTCCTGATTCACAAATAGGCGTTCGTTCTCTCCGCCATCGTCTACACATTTCCCCTGATTCACCGACACTATTGTCTGCGTCTATCCCTAGACTCCCGCCACCGTTCCTTTCCGTTTCTAGTTCGAATTATGTGAAATCATTATTATGTTGTTTATTGTTTTTACGAAAAGTTATAGGGTGTGCCTACGGTGACATGCATGTCACGGTGACTTGCACTTTCCGGTCGAGCTCAGTTAGGATTAGGTCGACCTCATTTAGAATTCGGTCGACCTCATATAGGATCTGGTCGACCTCATTTAGGATTCGGTCGACCTCATATAGGATCAGGTCGACCTAATATGTTGTTTCAGTGTAAAAGCAGTTCATGGTGGCTACTTTGGATATTCATATCATACAATTGGCTAGATGGAAATTAAAGACTAATGACTTGTTTTGAAGCTGGAGTGTCCCTCTACATATTGAAGTGATTGAGAGCTCGATAGGAAGTCCAGAAGACCATTTTTGAACCTCATCAAAAGGCTATGCCAAAACTGGGAAACTGTCTGGAAATGGCTAAGTCTGGAAACGTGTTTGTGAAGCCTATTTTGAAGGTCAATTCGAGAAGCATGAATGCGAGTCGAGTCCAGGAGCCTCTACCACGTTAAATTAGGTATGTTTTTATACAAATTCAAGGCATTGGATGAAAGATTGGATATATGTAAGGCTTCAAACAAAAGGGTGGAAGTTGCTACAAATGTTGTTTTTCTGGCAGACTTTGAGCACAAGCAAGCTGCAGAAAAACAACCTTCGTAGCAACTTCGAGCCTTTTGTTTGAAGCCTTAAAGATATTCAATCTTTCATCCAATGTCTTGCCTTGTATAAAAAAATATGTAATTTAACGTGGTAGAGGCCTCTGGACTTGACTCGCATCCATGCTTCTCAAATTGAGCTCCAAAGTAGGTTTGACAAACACGTTGCCAGACTTGGCCATTTTCAGGCAGTTTCCCAGTTTTGGCATAGCCTTTTGGTCAGGTTCAAAAATGGTCTTCTGGACTTTCTATTGAGCTCCCAAGTACTCTAATGTGTAGAGGGACACTTCGGCTTCAAACAAGCCTTTAATCTCCAATTTCCATCTAGCAAATTGTAAGATATGAATCTCCAAATTAGACACCATGAAACTGTTTTAACACTGAAACAACATATTAGGTCGACCTAATCCTATATGAGGTCGACCGAAAAGTGCATGTCACCGTAGCAAAGTCCAAAGTTATAATGAAAGCATAATGAATTATATTTCTTGAAAAAGTAAGCATTCTCTCTTTGTTAATAAGGCTCGAGGAAGGTACAGAAGATGCCGTCGGGGGAGGGGGTTGAATCGGCGGACGGCGGATCGAATGTTAATTTTTTTGCATTTTTTTTAATAATATTTTTTTAACAAAAAAGAAAAGGATAAATATGTAATTTTAGTACTTTAAGTTAGGGCGATTAGGGCGACAATTAGCAACCCTCAAAATATTTAAAATAAAAATTAGGAGCTTTTTAATTTTTTAATTGCCACATCACTTATTTAACGGTCAACTCTCATAGTTGATTGACACGTCAGATAAAGTTATCGGAGACTAACGGAGAGTGATCGAACTTGAACTGTTGTACTAATCTAAGTGACTACGGATGGAATAAATTAATTTTAGTGGCAAACGTGAACTTTTTAAGTAATTTCAGTGACCAAACTTGCAATTTATCTGTCTATTTTTTATCTAAACCAATTTTTATATTATCCAAACCTATTAAAATGCTTTTAATTAATAAAATCTTCGTAATGCATCAAAATATTAGCCATTTTTAGGTTATCATTAATAATTTTGTAACTCTTTCCCTAGTTGAAATACTAAAATTTTGGAATATTGACTTGCATGTGTCTCTTCCAAGTGAGTATTATGTTGCCAAGTCAATATTACTAACAAAATTGCTATCTGAAAGCTAACATTTGGCTAATTTTTAGTATTTCGATAGGTTTGGCAAATAAAAAAGAATTCAAAAAAGGTTTGGATAAAAATAGGAAATACCCTTATTTTAAAATCTCGAGTGGACATGCTGCCATTATAACGGTCGATCGACTACTATAAGAAGGAAGTTCTGTTTGTTTCGACGGTCAACTGTATACCAATCGACTTCTAGTTGTTGCCTTGTAGGATGTTAAATCCAATATTGGAGAAATTCTATCGTATCGAGCAGGTAGATCGAAAATATTGGATACCGGATATAAAATAGTAGGCGATGTTAGTGATAGAAAATGGTTGAATCATGGTTAAAGTTAAATTATTATTTTAGTATAAAAAATTCTATCACGGATAACATCCAGTACAGTTTCATAACTTGTGGTTAAATCCTCCAAACGTATGTGATGTAAGTCTTCGGTTTGTTTCCTTATTGGATTTGAAAATGAGGGTTCTAAGCGGAAATAATCGTTTGATTTATGATGGATTTATTATACGATGGATTTGAAGAGTCCGCTGTTTGGATGGTAGATTTGATGATATATTTATGATGAATTGATGTAGTTATATGCATTAGCAGGGTGAGTACTACAAGAGAGATTTAGTTATATTTATCAAGGGTCTAAAATTGTCATTCAAATAAATTTTGAGTATGTTGGCTGACAAACATCTTTTATGGCAGTGTAAAGATGAGGAATGTTATTTCCCTATTGATTATTGTTATCAAATCGTTTATAATATTTTAAAGCTTAGAGTTCGATATATATGTATTATATGTCACTTCAACAGAAATAAATATTGACTAAAGGTCATGTTTGTGTTTTACTATTTATCCTAAACTTTGTCATACAAACTCTTTTTTTGTTATGTCAGATTTCTTTTAAACCTTAGATAATGTATTTGTATCATAAATAGACAGTTATGAATAATTATTCATGATTGTGATAGTCATTAAAAATAATGTTCGGTCATTGATGAAAATTACTATGATTTCAAAATTAAAAAAATAATTTTCATGACACCTAATTCCATACGAAAAATAAACATTTCAAATAATTGAAAAAATCAATATACAAATTTAAATAGTTATAATTAACATTCGAACTAACAAATCACACATCCTTCTATTGGCCAATACTATAGTGTCGCTGTAAAAAATGCGGCACCGGTGCCGCTGTTTGTGATTGGTCCACGTAAGCGCGACGTGGCACTAATTGGGTTGATTACCTTTGATTGCTTGTTGGATCAAAGGTAACCTTTCGGTGTCTGGTGGGATGGATCCAAGTTTGTGATCTCCGAATCTGCGTTCTACTTTATATGTAGCGGAAGCCACTTCTTCTTCGCTTGTAGGCCTGCTCTTTTTAGTAGAGGATTCACTCCTTTAGAGTCTTTCTTCGAGGGCGGAAGTACCCCATATCGCGGAAAAGCCTGACGGCGGGCATATAACTTGGACCAAATCGCAGCTAACCAAACTGACAGAAAAATGTCCGTGTTTTGCGGCTTTATATTTTGTATGTTTTCATTAATTAATTAAAAGTTGGTATAAATTTTTTTTATAAGGGTGAGAATTGCATTAAAAACGAAAAACTGTACACAGAAAAAAGAGTCCAAAAGGACAGCACAAGGAG